CGAGTTGGCGCAATAGGGGGACACACGTGCATCTGCCAGTTATCTCTGTTAAACCATGACACCTGGGTCTGTGCCGTGACCTCCTGCTGGCATGCGTTTGACACTTAACGTGGCCTTAAAGTGCACCTGGCCTGGCACAGGCACGCTGGTGACATCACCGCCACTTGGTGGTGAATGGTGTTGTATCTTTGTTGACATTCTATTGCACCTTACGTAGCTAACCGTGCGAATCGGAGATGTGGGTGAAGGACAACAAACGAAACACAAAAAGCAGTTCTGAAGAATTAAGTTTTCAATCTCGATCATTTTTAACAGCGCATAGCTCAGTGGCTTCCTAATATCGGAAGGGAAGAGCGTTCCAGACGGCCGCAGAAGCAGCGCGACTGAAAGCGCCGCACGATGATGCCGGCAACCACCGCCTTTCTCCGATGGCCAGAGAGAAGCTGCGGCTGCTTGTGCTGCTCTGCGCACACTCGACAGTTTGTGTTCATGCTCTCGACTTCTGAAGGGCGGAATCGTCATCGCTCGTGCGAAGCTCACTTCGACCCGGCGTCCCATGCGTGGCATCTCCAGCGCGTGGAATTAGCAAGTTATGAATTTCATTAATTGCGTAATAATATATTTATCCTCACCGCAGTTGGATGTGCAGATGGCACAGATGGAGATTAGTCCACACTCTGCTGTACTGCCTTGTCCTGGCAGAGCCAGGGGGTATGGCTCCTCCCCACCACCTATGGGAAGGGAGGTCTACAGCCCAATCTGTGTGGTGACCCACCAACCCTCGCTGCTTCTGCCTCGACAGTGCTTGGTCACAGACTGCCACGTGCAGTGTTCAGCCACCGCTACCCAGTTCAACAACTTGATTAGCCGCGCGCGCGAGCGGGCGTTTCACGTGCCGATCATTCTCGTTTCGATAAAGTAAATAAGCAGACGTCACTTTGGCATATCCGCCGCTGCACGTGCAGAAATTAAATGAAAAAAATTTCTTCCACGACTCATGGGCCAGCTGCGCGTGGCCTTCTGGGAGCGCTTCTTGTTCAGCAGCAATGATTCGAGACGATCTCGTGGGCCGGTTTCAACATTCAGGGTCTCATCGGCAGAGTTAGGGGCCGTCCATAAATGACGTCACGTACCTGGGGGGGGGGGGTTTGAGAAATGTGACGTCACATCAAAATGCGCAACTTTAAATAAACATAGACAACACGTTCTACTTAATTAAATAGACTTTTTAATAAATGTTTTCTCCTACAACATCAGATTGCAGCGCCACATTAAATACGCACTACAATGACAATAGTTTAAAGCGATTTGAAGCATGTTTTATTTGGGGGGGGGGGGGCAGAGCTTTGTGACGTCATATTTGAGGGGGGGGGGTCTGACTTTTTGTGACGCCACGTGACGAAGGGGGGGGGGGGTCAAAAATCGTCAAAAATCGCGTGACGTCATTTATGGCCGGCCCCTTTAGTCGAAGCCGCTCCCGAGTTCTGCTCGTCTTGGGTCGATGCTGCTGTGATTCCGCACTCCCAGAATGCCGTGCGGCTGATGGACAGATTTTCGAGGGAGGAGCATCAACTGCTTATTTATGTTACTACTTTTATTACTATTATTACTATTACTACTATTATTATTACTACTATTACTATTATTATTACTATTATTATTACTATTATTATTACTATTATTGCTATTATTATTATTACTATTATTATTACTATTATTATTACTATTATTATTCTATGTTGTTACATTGTCAACTGACGCTAACGCTTCACCGGTAAGTTGGATACAAATGCTCACAGCCGTATATTCATCATAACTGTTGGCTGCAGAGAAGATTACAAACACCACGCCTGAATGTCTTGACTCGTTTTATCCCGGAAGAATCCGATGAGCTGTGAAGCTCTTTATCATGGATGTGAATGTGGGGTCCTATAGTCCGTTTGCCAGTCTTTTGGGTCCATTCCAAAGGACTTTTAAATATCGATAGACGAAACCTGGATGGGTTGTTTTGCTGTTGGGGAGGTTAACGAAATCAATAACTATGTCACCTGCAAAACCCCGTGGAGTCGTGACGTTATCGTGCAAAGATCTGGAGCTAAATATACACGGAGCTCCGCCGAACGTCGACACAATCACAATGCGTTCCACGGAGCGAGGCGTCAATAGACGCGGAGGTGAGATGACGCAAGTCGGAGCCAAACATGGGAGCCGGAGAGGACGAGGAATCGTGACCCAGAGTCTGCCGAGGGGATCAGCTGGCGGCCTTGACAACGATCTTCTTCTCTCTCGGTCACAACATTGACGTCGTGCTTGGGTTGTGGGTGGAGATCGACGGCAGCATCATCAGAACATCGCCACCACCACCAACAGCAGGCAGGCCCAACAGCAATAGCCAGCGCCGTTCGCCGCCAAGTGACAGTGGGGTCACCACGGCGGCTGTGCCAGGCTAGGTGCACTATGAAGCCACGTGAAGTGTCGAAGACTCCCTGCTGACAGGAGGTCATGGGACTGACCCAGCAGGTGCCGTGGGTTGTCTGGCTGAGATGGCGGGCCGATGCATCAGCTGTGACCCCTACTGTGCCAACTTGATGTATTTTATCTGCCTGACGCTCCGCTCGTTGTTGTGAGCGTCGCTCCTCCGCCATCCGTTGTTGTGGGAGGGCGACTGCCTCCAACTGCCCAGTAGCGTCCTTCACGAGCCTCCTCCTCCTCCACAGAGGCCAATCTTGACACCGCTGGTACCAGTCATCGGCAAGTCCACTCGGCTTCACATCCTCCTGTACCACGTCACTCCATCTCTTCTCTAGCCCGTGTCGGCATTCGGTGAAGCTCTGTGGCCAAACGGAAGCTGCTTGGACACGCGGTGGCTGGGCCCCTCAAACGCTGCCACGTGCATCTCCCTCGCCAAAGGAATGTTAAAAGACGCAGCCCACAGTCCTTTGCGATAGCTCTCAAATAATGATGATAATAATAGTAGTAGTCTTACCCGAGCAAATACGTTATCTGATTCGTATATCGCGTGCGGTGAATGGGCTTGTGTTCTTTCTCGCGATGGAGATGACATCGGCGTGAATGAATAGCTCGGGCGTGTTCTGAACCCCCACCACCACCACATACTCCAGGCGTGAGCTGTCCGCAGCGGTTATTTCCGTCCCGTCAGATTGTGCTCGGAATAGTTGCGCAACCCACAGGTGCGTGCGTAGGTAGGCACGCACGCGCACGCACGCGCACGCGTAACACCCCCGCGAGAGACGCGGGCACGCGCTCCGGGCGGTGGTCTTGGGCGGGCGTGGTGCTACCCCCCCACACCCACCCCACCCACCCACTCCCACCCCCCACCCCCCCACACCCACCCACTCACCCACCCACTCACTCACTCCCACCCACTCACTCCCACCCACTCCTCGTCACCCACCCACTCCCACCCACTCCTCGTCTCCCACCCACTCACTCACTCCCACCCACTCACTCCCACCCACTCACTCACTCCCACCCACCCACTCACTCACTCCCACCCACTCACTCACCCACCTACTCACTCACTCACCCACTCACTCACTCCCACCCACTCACTCACTCCCACCCACCCACTCACTCACTCCCACTCACTCACTCACCCACCTACTCACTCACTCACCCACTCACTCCCACCCACCCACTCACTCACTCCCACCCACTAACTCACTCCCACCCACTCACTCCCACCCACTCACTCACTCCCACCCACCCACTCACTCACTCACTCCCACCCACTCACTCACTCCCACCCACTCCCACCCACTCCCACCCACTCCCACTTGTTACCCTGCATCGGTGGTGCTGCTACTCGCTCGCAGCGCTTGCCCCTTCACGTCCTCGAAAGGCTCCACGTGGGGGGGGATCTTTGTCTTTAATTTGTGGCCGATGCGGTGTGGGTGACACAAGGGGGTGAGAACCCTGAGGTTACATTCCCGACTCGGGGGAGGGGGCGCTTTGTGCGTTCCTCCGCCACCAGGGGAGACAAAGGCGGCCGGGCGTGTCTGCTGGCCACACTCTCAACCCACAGTGCCCGGGCTTCATCGGTGTGGCTGCTACTCGCTCCCAACAGCACTTGCCCACGGACAAGTCTGTGAAGGCTACACGGGGGATCTTTGTCTTTGTGTCGTGTGCGTGTGTGTGTGTGTGTGTGTGCGTGTGTGTGTGTGTGTGTGTGTGTGTGCGTGTGTGTGTGTGTGTGTGTGTGCGTGTGTGTGTGTGTGCGTGTGTGTGTGTGTGCGTGTGTGTGTGTGCGTGTGTGTGTGTGTGCGTGTGTGTGTGTGCGTGTGTGTGTGTGCGTGTGTGTGTGTGTGCGTGTGTGTGTGTGCGTGTGTGTGTGTGTGTGCGTGGCCGTCACCTTGAGCTCGTCGGAGTTTACGTTGCGATGTCAAAGCGCGCGCAGCTCCCACTCTGAATATCTCCGAAGGAATGTTGACCGCGTTCCCGCTCGCGTGCCAACACCAGGTGAGGGGCTGTCTGAAACCGGTCCTGGGCCCTTCCCCTAGGTCGACTCGGCCTCAAACGAGTACCCGGTGCCCACCCGAACGCGAGTTTTGGATTTCGTTCTCGCCGGGTAGAGAGACAAAGACGGCCGTTCGTGGTGTGTTGCTGTCTGGCTCGCCCCTCCTCTTGTTCCGTGCTCGCCCTTGGCAGGTGCTCACGGAACGGTGGTGGTGGTGGTGGTACGTGTATCTCCTGCGTGGCGATCAACCCCTGGCTGTGTGATGGCGTTGCGCAGCCGATTTGAGAGCGAGCCTGGCCGTGATGGTCTGGGGCCTGACACAGCCGAGCCGCCTCCATTCCCCCCGGGGGTCTCCCCCCAGCACCCCCACTAGACCCCACCAGACCCCGCCAGACCCCACGCCACGGGCCGTGCCCGTCGTTCCGGTCACCGGCCTCGGCGTCGTTCACACGCGTGGCGGTGGTGGGGCCATCAAACATCGCATCATCATCATCATCCTCTTCCCCCCCCCCCCACTCACCAGCCATCCACCTCCTCTCCACGTATATGGTGGGACCGAGGCGGTGGTGTTGGAGGTGTTAGGGGGCACGCACAGGAGGGGAGCCGTCGGCTCGTTACCAAACAGCGGCGACCTCCGGCACGGTGAGAGCCGGCCCAGAGCCCCTGCAGGCGAGAGAGAGAGTGGCGGGGTGAGGAGTGGTGTGGGGGGTCACCACCCACCACCATTACCACCAACCACCATCACCACCACCACCACCATCACCACCAACCACCAACCACCAACCACCCACCACCACCAGCAACCACCACCCACCACCACCATCTGGTGTTCTCGCCGTGCGTGCATTGCGGCAATTGACATGTTGAGGCTTGTTTTTTAGACACACACACATACACACATCTAAACATATGAACCGAGTTTCGGTGGGGAGGGGGAGGGGTTGGGATGTCTTCTGTTGTTATTTTGGGTTTCCAACACCCCCCCCCCCCTCCAGGTCTCTGTCCAGCTTCTGGTTTTGTTTTTGGCCGTGGGGTCTGCAGCACGGGGCCGTACCTGGCTGGGTTGGGGACAAAGAGTCGCGTCATCCCTCTCCGCGTGGTGGTGCCTTGCTCTTCGCCTGGCTGTGTTCTAAGCGAAGATTCCCTGCCTCTGTGTCGCCGACTCTCTCGCCAGCTCACACCGTGTCAACTCGCACGGCTTAGCGCGTATTCTTGTACAGGGAAGTTGAGTGTTTTCAGGTCCATACGGCGTTACAGCCGTTGCAATGCGGGCAAACATGGTTCAGCCTTTGTTTATCCCTTGCGATGGGACTTTGTCGGATGGACGTTGAGCTTTAAGGGGCACGGGTTGACCGCTAAGGTCTGAATGTATACTAATGTAGTCATTGATAAGGGGGTGAAGGCCGTCTCTCTCGGATTGCCACAGGCTCCAAAGACTCGCAAGAGTTTGCTCGAGGTGCCAATTTGGCTACAGATGGCATTGCTCATGTTCTCGCTTGACTCGTGTGCGTGTGGTTTTTATGTTTGAGAGGCTTGGCCAAGTTTTGTTTGTACTAAGGGGGGTGGGTGGGTGGGGATGGTTAATTTAACTAATGTCGCTTTTGTGTGGTGTCCAACAGATTGATTTGCAGGTGATTTACGATCCGACACCGTTCACACTCCACACTGTACGTGCACCCCTAGCGTGGAGCTGCTGCTGCTGCTGCTGCGTCCGCCTTGTGAGTGGAATGTTCGGGGCGTGGGTCACGACTGTGAATAATCACCAGAGTGGTGGTGGTGGTGGTGATGATGGCAGCTCCGTGTTACCTGGGGGCGAATGGGTGTGAAAGCACACGCACACATTGTGAGCTACAGAAGCCACAGGTGTGTGTGTGTGTGAAACAAATACAAAGATCCACCTCGTGTAGCCTTCACTGACTGTTGGAGCAAGTGCTGTTAGCGAGTAGCACCTATGGAGGTGAGAACGGCTCACCAGAGGGGGTGGGTGGCCAGCAACCACGCCGGGCCGCCTTTGTCTCCTCGAGCTGGCGATGTTTACACACCGCACCAGGCACTACACTACCGCTCCCCCCACCTCTTGTGTGATTGTTGGTGTGGAAACACACACACACAGACAGTGTGAACTGCAGAAGTCACGGGTGTTTGTGTGTGGGTATGAAAATACACAGATATTGTGATCTACAGAAGTCACAGGTGTGTGTGTGTGGGTATGAAAATACACAGACATTGTGATCTACAGAAGCCACAGGTGTGTATGTGTGGGTATGAAAATACACAGACATTGTGATCTACAGAAGCCACAGGTGTGTGTGGGTATGAAAATACACAGACATTGTGATCTACGGAAGCCACAGGTGTGTATGTGTGGGTATGAAAATACACAGACATTGTGATCTACAGAAGTCACAGGTGTGTGTGGGTATGAAAATACACAGACATTGTGATCTACAGAAGCCACAGGTGTGTGTGGGTCAAAAATACACAGGCATTGTGATCTACAGAAGCCACAGGTATGCGTGGGTATGAAAATGCACAGACATTGTGATCTACAGAAGTCACAGGTGTGTTAGTGTGTGGGGAGCGGTGGTGTAGTGGTTAGCGCTACGCTGCGCTACGAACCTGGCCACCCGGGTTCGATTCCCGCTCATGGCCAACACCGGTGAGGATTATCTGAACCGGTCGTGGGCCTCCCCTAGGTCGACTCGGCCTCAAATGAGTACCTGGTGCGATGAGTAAACATCGCCACTGGGAAGACAAAGGCGGCCGGGCGTGGTGCTGGCCACCCACCCCCTCGTGTGCCGTGCAGGCCTTCATAGGTGCTCGCTAACAGTACTTGCCCCAACAGTATGTTAAGGCTACACGGGGGATCTTTGTCTTTGTGTGCGCGCCTCTGCTAGCCCTTGCCATGTGGCCCACTCCAAACCAGGCCCCCGTGTCTCAGAGACGGAGAGACCCAGATCAAGATCCCCCCCCCCCCCCCAACGTCTTGGCACCTCACCAGCGCATGGCCGGCGATGGGACGCCCACCGTCAGAGCCAAATTCCCTTAAGTTGATTTAAATTTTCTTGGTTCTTACGGTAAAATCACGTAGAAGGGAAGTAATAAAATAATAAAAATAAAACCTAATAAAATAATTCTCACGACGTTTCGGCCACAACGCAAGCCGAAACGTCGTGAGAATTATTTTATAATGTTTTATTTTTATTATTTTATTACTTCCCTTCTACGTGACTTTACCGAAAGAACCAAGAAGATGAATCCCTGCAGTCACGAAAGCTTTAAATCGAAATTTGATTTAAATTATGATGATTTGTGACGATTTACGATGCACTCGCCCACACACGCAGAATATCGTGTGGCTGATGTGTGAAATAAAAGAACCCCCCATAAGACAGACGATGGGGAGGTGACGTCTAGGAAGGGAGTGGGTGAGGGTGTTTGTCTGTGTTGCTGTGCTTGTCTGTGTTGCTGTGCTTGTTGTATTCCACACGATGGCGCCAATGGCCATGTTATTGTTGCTATGTTTTACTCTGCAGCGTTTTGTGTCAACTGCGGGACGCAATTCTACCACAGAGAGAGTGGGGTGGTGGGGGCTTTTGCCGATCACCACCGAGGAAAGTGAACCATGGTTGTGTCGATGAGATGGATTGTTATTCGCTATTACACCCAATACAAATGTTCGCCAGCATCGGTTGAACAAGCAAGGCCGCTAAACTGAAATAAACACTTTTTTATTGTACCAGATAAAGGGTCGTCCATAAATGACGTCACCCACCTAGGGGGGGGTCAGACATTTGGGACGATGTGTGACGAGGGGGGGAGGGGGGTGAGAAATGTGACGTCACATCAAAATGCGCACCTTTAAATAAATAGACAACACATTCTAATTGAATAAATATACTTTTTAATAAATGTTTCCTCCTACAACATCAGAGTGCAGCGCCACATTAAATACGCACTACAATGACAATAGTTTAGAGCGATTTGAAGCATGTTTTATGTTTGGGGGGGCAGAGCTTTGTGACGTCATTTGAGGGGGGGTCTGACATTGTGACGCCGTGTGACGAAGGGGGGGGGGGGTCAAAAATCGTCCAAAATCGCGTGACGTCATTTATGGACGGCCCCAAAGGCCCCACTGAGTTTGTGAAGCTCTTTGTCAGAAGCGACCTGCCCATCACAAGTTGTCGCCCAACGAGAAGGGGCTTGTCCATCATCGTCATCATCACTATCGTCGTGTGCAACTTTATAGCAGCCAACAACCCTCAACGCGTGATTGTTGAATCCTAAATGTGGATGTGGAAACCCGTAAGACCCTGAGTAATATCCACGGGGAGCGAGACCCGCCAACTCCACATGCACAGCAGCAGGCGTCAGGGTCTGACCCAGACGCCCGACCTCCTGTATCGCGGGCGAGGTCGTTAACATCTCACAAAACCGGTCCCCACTTATACTCCACTTTTGCTCGTGTTGAGACCGCCATGCTGCTGGTTTGGACGCAACTCCCCCAGAGAGAAGGCCGTGCCTGGCTCGTGATGAGATGCGCAAGAGAGTAAAGTCATATTTATGTTTAATTTAGAGAGACCGACATGAGGATGAGGTGTTACACTCCCAACTTTATTTGTGTTGTTCGGGCTTGTAGAGTTCCAGTTATAATTATATTAGTATAGTTTGCTCCACCGGTCAAACTGGTTTTTTTGTCAGTATTACGATGACGCTATGTTCCGAAACCGCGTCTTCTGCCCTCTCCTCCCTCGCGTCCCCCCCTCCCGCCCAGTGACACGTGTTCAGGTTCTGTACACGCAGCACGGGAGCGTCCACACCGGGCTGACGGGATGTGTGAAAACACCAGCGAAGATCGACTTTTATGGTCGACATTGTGGGACGGATATGGCAGTGGGAGGCGACTGGTCGAAGCTAGCGCGAGATGTCTCGCAACGTTCCGTTTAACACATTTGCGTTTGATTTGGACCTCGGTTCAGTCCACGACTGCTGAATTCTTATCGCGACTCCGATTATTGGCACAGGGAAGCCTCGCCGAGTCACTTGGCTCCCTGGTCACGGTGATCCTGCCACGTTTTCACAGCAAGGAGGTGAGATGGCGTGACGCTTGACGCCTGCTGCCGCAATGTGTGTGTGCGTGTGGTTCCCAACCGAGATGCTTACAATGTAATCTCTCGATCTGGACCGTGAACCCGGCCACACAATGTCCTCGTAGCCTTGGCGGATGACGTTAGAATGATCTTTAGCATGCCCCTAACCCCAGCCAAGCCCGCACGATGCGAAGCTGTGGCTTGCGCGCTATTTCTATCGCCGGTTTGCACGCCACGTGATTAGGACGGGCCGCACCTCTGCATGCCGCAGTGAGTGTGTGTAGGTCGACTCGGCCTCAAATGAGTACCTGGTGTAGCGGTGTGTAAAGATCGCCACTGGGGAGACAAAGGCGGCCGGGCGTGGTGCTGGCCACCCACTCCTTTGTGAGCTGCGCCGGCCTTGACAGGTGCTCTCTAAACAGCCCTTGCCCCAACAGTCTAAGGCTATATGGGGGATCTTTGTCTCATGCTTTAATGCGTGCCTCTTCATTGTTTGGTCGAGGGAAGGTGGCACCGATGTTTAAAAACGGCGTCTTGTAACGCCCTTGCTTGATTCATCGTTGTCACAAATGCACACACGGGCCTCGATGTGTGTCTGCTTGTGGATGAAAGCCCCGGGCTAACGCGAGTGAGTTAGAGCACAGCAATTATTAAGATTATCATCGGCGTTTTTTTTATTGTAAGAACGTTGAACGAGTAAACCAAGTGTTCATTCGCGTTGTTGTGCAGACGTTGCAAAATAAATCAGCGGACAAGTACACTCATTGGCTGTGTGGGGTGGTGGAGGGTTACGACACATTTATACTTACGCGATCTAACCCAAAATCCTTTATCATGAATAATATCGGTCGCGAAAGCCTACGTGTTTAAAGTACTTCTCTTTCGCGTGTTAGTCACTCCAAGGTATAAAATACGCATCCTGGTAGCCACACGGCCTTCTGGGAGTGCATCGTGCCATCTGCGTTGACGCCAACGCAGGCAAAACCCGGGGGCGGTTTTGACCTCGAGTGTCTCACCAGCAGATGCGGGCTTGCCGAGACCAATGCTGATCAACTGTGCGTGTACGTACGTTGCACTTCTTTTGCACCGTACGTAGCCAACCATGCCCATTGGAGGTGCCTGGGGGGGGGGTGGCGAAAGGACAACGAGGCAAGGAACTGGTTTCAGCAGTCTTGGTATCATCAGCATCAGTCAGGTTGGGTTGAGCCGATGCTGTCAAACTGCCCAGATATGTATCGGTGAGGAACTGGTTTCAGCATTCATTGTCAGTCTAACACGTAGCAGGCAATATCATCCATAATAGAGGGGGGGGGGGTTGGGCTGTCGCCTGATGAAGCTGGTTGTAATTACTGGCGAAACGTCGTACTCGGATTGTAAATGTTGTGGCTTGGCTCCCCAACACACAACCGGATAGTGCTGTACTAGTATACTACACTATACACTACACCACTTTACATTACACTACTATACACTACACTACTATACACTACACTATATACTACACTACACTATACACTACACTATACACTACACTATACACTACACTACACACTACACTATACACTACACCAATATACACTACTATACACTAGTGTTGTACTTGTGACGAATTGGCACGTTCTGTTTAC